TATTATTATTATAATTCAAAAAGTTTATTATCATTATTAACTTACCTTCTTTATTAAGCAAACTGAAGCTACTCACATGACACTGCCCTTATAATGTCTGTATTGCAAGTCAATTTCTATCAGAAAGCCATCCTGAATTTATTTTAAAATATCAAGTTTGAAAGCAACACAAAAGTTATAATTCCACAAAATGCGAAGATGCAAATTTGTCACTTTCACATGGGTAAACATAATAAGAAACAAAAATATACTTTGTAAATACAAGAAAGATTTGCCTGTATTTTTGCAAAAACTACAAACCAAGCAATAATATTATTCATGTCCATTGGGCGGATTGTATTGTGAATCTTGTCATTTGAAGGTTTTCAATGAAAATTTGTCAATTCCTAAAAACAATTTGCAAATTAACATCATTGCTCTCGATACAATTATAGACAGGAAACATTCAGATTCTCTTAACAAGAGGGAATTAAATTCAAAGCTCCCTTTATTTAGTAAAAGCGGTAAGTATTGGTATATATAAACAATGGAATAAATTATTATACAAATAACGGAAACAATTTTAGGATCAGCAAAATAAAAAATTTCACCTCACTAGCTCGGAAAGGCTTTTCTGTCTCATTAGAAACCTGCGCGCGAAAGCATTTTTTGCACGCTAGCGTGGAAGAGGTTTTTGAAATTCGAACTTGACGATGGACTGTGGTACACTCATGCACCTACTTTTTCTTTCGATAAAAAAATGATAATGACTACGCGATTTGTCGTACATTACCTATTTATGTAATATAAATCTATTGGTACATTTTATTCTTGTTATTGTTGGCATTAAATTGACAATGACAACTAATTGTGTTTATTAAATTATTTTAATTCGTCGAAGAACTAAAATAATTTCAATAATCACTTAACCACTCAAAATAAAAGTACAAGCATAATAAAAATTGATGAGGTGTAAATTCAGAACGCATCCGAAGATAAACTTTCTCTACTAATTAAAAAAGTTATGTTCAACTGTTTTTCTTCCATCTACCATTTTCCTCGCTATAGTGAGGTGAAAAGTTGAGTGTATCGCCCGGCAGCAAAGTTGTTTTGCGGCTCGTGCCTTGAAACCCTCGCTACGCTCAGGAATCTATTTTTGAACCGCTCGCTTCACTCGTGGTTCAATCTTAGCTTTCTTCGCTTGCTCAGGTTTCAATACAAGCACTCGCGTCAGACAAAGACTTTGCAGCCTTGCATAACAAATAACTATTGTTATGTTATACATACTTTGTGTTGTATGACACAGGTAATAAGAAGAAAAGTTCTTTCGCATCCCTTGACTCCATCACTCACTTTTTCTTCGTTTACTATAAAATAAATGTTATTCATTATCGAGTGCTTAGGTTTTCGCGATTGTTACACGTAGCACTAACTGCCTCCGTGGCCGAATGGTTACCATGCTTGTCTGCCACGCAGAGGTCTCGGGTTCGATTCCCACTTTACATTTAATTATCTCGTGAGTTTGGGTGTAATTTGTGATTGCTTATATGTGTGTCCATGGCACCCCCGACCCAGGGATTAGATTAACAAGTATTTTTTTTAGAAAGTACAAATTAAAAGCTATGATAGGTATCTATACCACAATTAATTAACGCCCATAACGAGAAAGAATTAGAAAGTCTGTTACTTTTTATCAAAGACTTAATTTTGATCTCTTTGATCTACCTATATGCTATTATACCAGTACACTCTAAAGATCGATTTTCAATACTTCCACAACGTGCCAAAGACTCTAAAGTTACCATCTTTTTGTCTCAAAGAAAAAGGCACATAATTAAAACTACCAATCATAATATTTCCTATGGAAATATACTGAATTAAAATATACTGTACAAAGATACTGCCCAATTCAGAACTCTCATCTAGACGAAATTATTTTTTCGTATCAAATATTTCCTGTTTTGTTTTAAGTAAAATGACAACATGTATGTATACAGTACAAGTGACAATAATATTCAGTATTACGTTTATGTTACAATATTGCCACCACAGAGCAAATATTGTCACTTTTACTTGTTAAAAAGGTAATATAAGTACAGATATCTTCAGAAGTCCTAAACAAAAGTTATTAATTATAGCGTCACATTTTAGTCGCGCGATACCAATAGTATCCCTTGTTGCGTTAGTTGAAATATCGACAAACGAACTTATGATCCATCTTCAGCATGTTCACGTAAAAAATTAATATTAGTCCATACCCCGTAGGTGTCTGATAACTATACTAATATAGCTATAAATACATCACTAAGCGTCCTGAGCTTAAACAATGTTTGATTGATCCAAAACTATTATGCAATTTTGAAACTAGTATACTAAACGTGTTTTCCATAAGTCCTTCTTGGGAATTTGGATTTGAAAAACCGGGGGAAAACTTTTTTTCGATGATAACACTATTTTTGCATTCTAGCCCTTTACGACAAAAATGCGAGATGGCTCGAATTATCTGTCCGGGAGTACATTTTGTGACTGTAATATGCAGGTAACTAAGTTATTAACTTACCCGACTCACAAAATTTTCCGATGGTTTCTATAGCTCTGTAATCATCAGAGTTTTTAATTAATCCCAACGCTATTTCAAGTGCTTTTTTTACGTCAACTTTACCTTCTTGGTTTAACTGGAATAAATACAACACGCTTGGTAAAGAGCAGTAAGCAGTGCGACTTTTTATTTTGGTTATAGTTTAGATGAAAAGCACATTTCATAACTAGTAACATTTCTAGTATAACTGAACCACAGGCTGCTCGTCTATACGAAAAAAAAGAAAAAGAGAAGAAAAGAAAAGCCAATTGTTGTAGAACGATTGGCAGTAGGCTTTTCTTCTCGATTGGCTTTGAAAAGTGTAATTTTTACTTGCTTACTACATCAAGCTAACCTGCTTGCCAGCAAATTACTTCTGATCGCCAGTGCCTACGTATGATAATGACATGTTAATCAATATTGTTTAAAAGATATCAATAGTGCGCCTATTCCACGAGTCAGGTTCCACGCCCTGGATTTCTATAGAATAGTAAGTGGGATTATAATGTGTGTACGCTACTTTAAGGAACTACGTAAACGTAGACACTTTTGGTTACCGACACAGGACGCTATCACAGGGAACCGTGGTTTCTGCGTCCGGTAACGGCAAGCGGACAGTCTGGTTGCTACTTTTGGACACTGGTAATAGTTCCATATTTGAATTCCCGAGTATTCCATCAGTGTCATGATGGATGCCCATGAAAAAGCATTAATTTTGCATGTTGTGCTGGTTATTTGTCGCCGTCAATATTTACAGGCAAATCAACCATGTCAGCAGGAATTTCCAGTTGCTTATATCAAACACTTTTTGATTGGCAATCGGTATGCGACAAATGGAAGCACCTGGAAACAGCAGTATCTGCGCCTGAGCTGAACATGGTGGTCAATCTCATAATAAAATTGATTGTCACTAATTACAAGTTTGTTACCACGATATTCACTATCTCCTATTTGCCACTTACTTGTACCCAACACAAGACACAAAAGTGACTACGTTTGCATGGCACCTAAGAGTCTTTAGATCCCGTGTGTTTTAACAAAAGCAAACATTTGAGATAATCTCAAATACTTTTTAACCAATGTCTAGCAGCACAGAACACAAAGGAGACGAAACTCAGAATAAAAATGAGAAAATATAATAAAGGTTGGACGAAAGAACGCTGTAGGGTGCAATTTTCGATGGCTTTTAATTCAAGTTTAATTACTAACATTCAAAAACATTTTCGCACTGGTCTTCACATCTAATGTACAAAGCCTCAATAATAACTTACCATGCCCTTCTTCTGTAAAACACATGCGAAAAGGCATTTTTCTATATCGTTGAGGTCATCTAAAGATTTGTATTTTTCCTGGAGATCACTCAATTTCAGATTTAACTCTTTAGCGCATTCATCCAAAGGTCCTTTCGAATACTCCGTAAGTGTCATTAAGCCTTCTTTGCTAATGTGCGCCTAAAAATTTAATTTATACTTTTAGTATTATGGCAGCCAAAGTAAATCAAAATGGCGGTTTATCCTACGACGAAAGAAACATGAATTTAATGAAAAAGGAAACATGTAATTACGTAATGTAACTACCACCACGAAATTGCCTCAACTTAGATAGACACTTTCTGAATAAAGATTTCGTGGAAGAAGAACCATTAAACGAGGACTTGAAAAAAAACAGTGTCACTCAGAGCTTCACTGCCGGAGACTGCAGAGAGACACTGCCACTGCATCCTTCACCCTGAGACATTATTTGACGAGTCCCATGTGTCTGTAATTTCACCACCGCCCTAACCCTTCAAAACCGGAACGCAGTAATGCTATAATAATAATTCCAGACAAAACCGATACACCAAGTCATCTAACACTCTAACAGGATTCAAACCAACCGGTTCTTAATTTTACTCTTTACCGTCAGTGGTGATATTAATTAAGAACAATATGAGATACCTTTTATTCCGAGAAAGAAGTCACTTGAGTCTGTCTTGAGATGCGGGAAAAGGTAGGTATAATCCAAATATTTTTGAAAATAAAGTAGTTATAAATATACATAACTTACTCCAATATTCCTTAGTGACACAACCAAAACAGCCAAACACAGAACGTATTTCATTGTCATTTTGTAGCTATTATTGCCAAGAGCAAATGTAAACGGTAGTCTGCTCGCTATAGGAAGCTTACTTTTATATGAATATACAACGTTTGCCATTTCTACCATAATTACGTAATTTACTATTGATGGTCACTGAATAAAATAGGTGATTTCGTCAATTACTTTGCACATTACTCATATTTTTCATTACCTCAC